AAAAAAAAAAAAAAAAAAAAAATCCTCATGCAAGAAGGTAAGGACCAAGTCCCATTCCCTCTTGCCTCATTTTCAGAGCCTGGGGTAGGGGTTACAGGTGGCATAGGAAGGGTCTGCAAAGTGGGTGGGACTTGGCAGGTGTTGGGAAGAGGAATAGGAGTGGCAAGTGTCAATGGTGGAAAGACAGGCTGAGGGGTGTGGTGGGAAGGCTGGGGGAGAAAGGTGAGAAGTGATTGGGGGGCTTCCCTGGTGAGTCCTCATGGAGGGTGCTGAGGCAGGGAACAGGGGTACAGGGACAGCGATCGGGGCACCTGGTGCCCTGACCAGCTTGACGACATCTCTTTTAAGATGCCCAAGTCTGTGCACTTTATTCCTTTATTCGGCCCCTAGCACCCCCTCCCCACCACAAAGGTCAGTGGTATGTGTGTGGGGATGTAGCTCAAAAAAGAAATAAGATGGAGTGGAAAGGAAAGAAAGGAAGAAGCAGGAATTCAAGGTGAGTGGGCTGAGCTTGGGGCCACCTAGCCCACCTGCTCCAATCAAGGGCTAGAACAAGCCTGAGGCTACTTGGAGAGGCAGGACTGGGCAGGGACAGGGGGTGGGGGCCGAGTTCACAGCTTCTCCATCAGAGCCAGATGTGTGGAGGAAATGTCCCAGATGGCAGTAGTTTCTGGGCAAGGAGGGGAATCCTGTAGATGGTTCATGTCTATGATCCCAGTGCTTTGGGAGGCTGAGGTGGGAGGATTGCTTGAGCCCAGGAGTTCAAGACCAGTCCTGGGCAGCATGGCAAGACCCCATCTCTACATAAATTAAAAAAAAAAATAATTAGCCAGGTGTGGTCACAAGCACCTGTAGTCCCAGCTACTTGGGAGGCTGAGTTGGGAGGCTGAGTTGGGAGGCTTATCTGAGCCCGGGAGGTGGAGGCTGCAGTAAGCCGTGATTACACCACTGTACCCCAGCCTGGGCAACAGAGAAAGACCCTGTCTCAAAATTAAGGAAAAAAAGGGGGCCAGGCACGGTGGCTTACGCCTGTTATCCCAGTACGTTGGGAGGCCAAGGCAGGCTGATTGCTTGAGGCCAGGAGTTTGGGACCAGCCTGGCCAACATAACAAAACCCCGTCTGTACTAAAAATACAAAAATTAGTCAGGTGCACACCTGTAATCCCAGCTACTCGGGAGGCTGAGGCAGGAGAATTGCTTGAACCCGGGAGGTGGAGGTTGCAGTGGGCCGAGATCACGCCACTGCATTCCAGACTGGGCGACATAGCAAGACTCCGTCTCCAAAACAAAACAAAACAAAGCAAAACAAAAAACAAAATGGAATTTCCTGCTCCGCTCTTCTGCTCATTGCTGGCATAGAAACATCTAGAACAGAAAGTATCCACTCTGGGGCAGATGGAAGAGCTGGAGAAGTAGATTCAAGATGCCTTTTAGTCTTGGAAGTTTCTTCCAGGGAGCGAGACCCGCTGGTATGTTTACGTCTGCACTCCCGTGCCCTGGGGAAGTGACTGGGTGGAGGGGATGGCTCGTGGAAATCTGCCCCGCACAGCCGGCCCCCTTTGGGCTGCCACTGTCTAGACTGTTGGCCTTTGACCTCTCCGCCTCTTGTGGCGTCTGAACCTAGACGTCCCTTTTGGAGAGAGCCGGACAAAGCCCTATTCTCCATGGCCTCGGCCTCTATCCTGAGGCCTCTGGGAGCCGTGTGATCCTGCGGCCAGTGTGGAATGCTGATGATGGTCGAGGAAGCAGGTCTCTGCCAGGTTGCCCCATGCGGCCACCCGTCCTCAGCATCCTAACTTAAGGGGGCAGGAGAGGCCTTTGTTTCTATAATCCAGATTAAATTTCCCTTCCCTGGGCACAAGTGCCTCATAAGGGCCCAGGGCTGCTGGCTGGGAGGGA